CAACAAAGGGGAGATAGACACATGCAAGGTGAAGTTGGGATGACATAGGGAAGGTTGCTGTCGATCAAGCCTAGGAACAGAGATCATTGCCAGAGTAGGCAGGACCACTGCAAGACCATGATAATTTGGGGATACATAATCTCACAAACAAAGGAATTCTCTTTCTCAGCTCTTGTCTCACTCTTGGCTCTCTAGTTCTTTTGGCTTTGCTCCTGCCTGTATTTCTTCCGTAGCCACATGGCACATGGCCATAGGGACCCCACACACAATGGACTAATGAACTGCAGCTGGGAACACAAACTAAGCTAGCCTGATGCTAGATTGGATTGCTCCAACATGGAACAGAAACTCTGGACACTGGCTTTGATTCTAGTCCTATTGAAGCCACAGCTACACTTCTTCCTTGGGAGGACAAAGGGAAATGGGGCCTTGGAAATTTAGGGATGTAATTCAATAGAAATAAAGCTATGTACAATATCCCATCCTCCCCTGTGAGTCTCAGAAAATTATTCATCTTGGTATATTGCAAGAAGCCACTCCCACAAGCAACAGGTGGTGATGAGGGTTTCTCCCCACTGATAACATTTATATAGATGATCTAAGGTTAACAACAACAACAAAAGTAACCATTAATTTTTGTACATTGTATACTTTGTTAGACACGTATTCAAATATGGGGTTAATGTAGGAGGCCTGGAAGTTCTCAGCTTCAGGGCTGGAAAATACGTCATTTTCTTTATGTTTTCCAAGTACATTATTTTGTTTGTTTCTATATGGCAACCCCAGATGGAGAAAGTGTGAATGCTGAGAAGTAACGTGAATGCTTCTTGTCATGATCTCTCCCTCCCCCCTCTCTCTAGATTATGTAATAATATTAAGAAATGTAGGGGAGGAAAAATAATTTCCCTTTACCATTCTAGGTTCTTGGCTGAGAATTCCCCTGGAGTAAAAGGCAGATTAATAGGAGAAAATTAGAAATTTAATAACATGTCTACCTCTTGCATAGAAGGGAGATACACAGGGAAACTGAATAACGCACTGAAATGGTGGAAGGAGTCACCTTGAATACCATCTCCAGCTAAAGACAAAAGAAGATGTGGGATCCAGCTATAGAGGGATATCAGGAAAAGAACAGTAAACGGGAGATGACTGTTACAAAGATTTAAGTCAGTTGACTTCTCCATTAATAAAAGCCCCTACTGATTTATTTCCTCATCTTTCTCTTCTTGGTATAGCGGGACACACCCTAACAAGTGGAGACTGCACTTGTAAGTGTAAATTTCTCTTATAAAAGGGTAACTTCTGCCTGGTTTTCAGGGCTTCTGCCAAAGAGGCATATTTTGGGGTGGTACATTCAGGTCCCTCTCAGAAACACACAAAAATGTTGCTGCACCTTCTAACACAAGTGTATAGTTTCAAGGGACTTATTTTGCATTTCTAAATTTCTTTAAAAAAACACACACAACTTAACCAAGAGTCTTTATTTTTTATTCTAAACGTTTTCCTTTATCATTCAAAAACCTCTTGAGGTTGGAAAGGAACAAAGCTGTAGGGGAATAATCAAGTGTTCAAGAAAATAATCTTCTGTTGTTGCAAAAACAACAAAACACTCAAGTAACTGCCTCCTAAATTATCGTACTAAGAAATAAGAAAAGAAACTCAAAATGGTATACATCCCAGCCTTCCAAAGCAATGTGGAAGGATTAGAGGGAACCTGGCTTGAGGGGGTCTGTAGGAAAGCTACCAGTTAAGAGGGCATTTGGCAAATCTGCCTGCTGCTTTTGGCTGCTAGGTCAGCACCGGCACTCATGTCCTTCCTTCAGCCCTACATCCTGCTTTTGTGCATATAGTGTGGACATTTCAGTCTATTGTTTTAAATGTGTAATCTTTCCTGTATCAATGCAGCTCTTTTTTCATGCTTGTCTTTGCGGTTCTTGCCAGTGTGCCTGTTCGAGCCGAGCTGCAAATAAAGAAATGTGGTTTTGTTTTTTAAATATAGTTGCTATGTTTGACACCCTCCCCCCAGAACATTTCTCGTTAGGAGCTCGCTCTAGTCAAAAGATGTCTACTTCTAACCTGCACCCCTGAACTCTTTCTTAAAAATTGTTTTCAGGACTAATGTCAATTAGTATTTCCAGACCAATCATAAAAGGCCAGATGTTCTATGTCTATGTCATTATTCATTGCAACCATACGTGCTGGACACATATTGCACGTAAGCCCTGTACAGGGCATTAGGGATACAGCAGTGAGCACGGCAAACTGGCTTCGGGACTTTGTGAAGGTAACAGTGTATGGGGATAGACGAAAGGTTAAATGAGTCAGAACAGTTAGCACTTGTTCACAAGTTCCTAAGTGCCAGACACAGTTCTAAGCAATTTAATATGGCTTATGTAACAATTCTCATTACATACATGTGTGGGGGAGAAAAAATATATTTTTCCTCCTACCTCTTTTAAATTCTTCTGGCTGGACTCATAATCAGATAAACATGAGAGATAAACAGGAGAAAATGCCCAAATGTATTATGTATGTACACAGATGGGTTCCATAAGACTATGGGGCCTGAGCACAGATCAGACGGTTAAGGCTTGATGCCATCATCTTGAGCTAAGGATGGAGGTGGTGATTGGGAACTCAAAGGCAGAAATGAGTTGGGGTTCAGAGTGAGCCGCCCCAAGATGGGCATCTGTGGTATGCAGATTAATTTGAGCTGAAGGCAATTTTAGTTCAAGACAAACCTCTGTCCCTTACTTTAACTACCTAGAACTGAATTAGGGACCGTATGCAAAATAAGAACCTATCAGATAGGACCTTTTTGACTTCTCTATAGGGCAGGGCAAGCTTCTATTTATGAAAGGTCTGTTCGTCTTATCCTGCAATGGCCCTTTGAAGCCCTCAAGGCACATCACCACATCCCTAGCTCAAGATGACATATCTCTCAGTCCCCCTTGCTATCTCTGAACCTCTCCAGCTATGGAGTCTCTGACTCTCTTAGGAATGCAGGGTTCCCATACATGTGTATGTACTAAATTTAGTCATTTTTTTCCTTGCTAATCTTTCTGTGTCTATTGCATTATTAGGCCAGCCAGAAAAACCTTGAGGGTAGAGGAAGGTTTCTCCCCCACAAAGGCAATTCACATGGAAATAGAAAAGCAAATGTTTGGCAAATAAATGCTTGCTGGGCCATCTTTAACAGTGGTGTTGAGAGGATTTGGATCAAACAAGAACTGCTAGGTTTCTCCCTGTCTGTCATACTAGTCGATACTAAACTATAGATATAATACCTCCATTCTTGGAGCATGTTCTCTATCTAAGTTGTAAGCAATTGTGGGGAGGTCAAACATTCTTTCTGAGACTTTGGTTTCTTAAAAATAAACCCTCTTAAAATAATCACTATGCCCTCCCCCCAAAATATCCCAGGGTGGCAAACCCCGTTTTCCCTCATATTTGAGATTAATTCCCTTTACAAATGGGAAAACTAAGGCATAGAGAGTTTGAATAACTTTTCTGAGGTTTGATATGTACTGAATGGCTTTGAACCGTAGCAGTCTGAGTCCGCCATATATGTGTGTGCATATGTGTGTATATAATTCACATACACATAATATGGGCATACATTGTATTTGCATATTTTGTATGGATACATATTTGTATATATAAACAAATTATAAATATGTTTATAGGAAATATTAGGAAATGTATTTAATATAAAATATTAATTAACATCATATTGGTGTGTATCTGTGTGTAATATGCCTCCAGACTTACCTGTGTATACATACGTGTATGAATATATATGAATATTATCTAAGGTGGATCTGAGTACTGTCTATTTTAAGGTGAGCCAGATCATCCTAATTTGCCCTCAGGGTTGATAAATACTCACCTGGGGGGAAACGGCTATGGGCTGAGTCTTGGGAACCAAAACAGAGATAGCTGAATACAACTTAATTTTCAGTCTCTACAGAAAAGAAATGTTCATTTGTCTAAGTTTTCTTTCTTTTGGCTCATATGTACATAGTTGCCACAATAATTTCTTTATTAAGGTATGGGAAAATTTTTTTGTAAATACCTCAGGTGAAGGTACTACCTTTCATCTACCTCCTATTTAATTTTTTTGTGTGTTCCCCTTTCAGAATGCAATCACAAATGTTGCTTTTATAAATCTTTTAGGCCAATGATATGTGAGTCTGAATTACTTTTCAAGAGGCTATTTGAAAGTATTTCAGGCAAATAGTTTTGAAGAGCAATGCAATCAACTACTGCAAAAACAGAGACAACTAGAGAGATACACTTGTTTCAGTATATTTCTTAAAAAACCAACGATTTGACAATGGCTGTTACAAGAATTCTTGTCTGTACTGAAGAGACACATGACACAGCAACACAGAAATGGAATCTGCTTCAAAAGGCACGTTCTAAGGCATTGAGTTCCTGGAATTCTCAGCCTGGGTTCTAGAATTTTGGCTGAAAATATTACTTTGGAATAGTTAGTTGAGACAGTTTTTAGACTTAGGCAGGATTTTATGTTTTTGTGCTGATGTGCGTTCAATTCCACAACCCAGTAAGACCAAAAGAAACTTATTGGTTAAGAAGCAAAGAACTAGTGTTTTTTGGAGAAACGTGTACTTAATCTCGCCTCTTTATATTATTCTAGTCACGAACGGTTTGCAATATAATCTCCTTTCAGCTGCTGTAAAGAATTTTGACCCCCGAGATTGTTCACAAGCCATTTCCCATTTTCACTGCTTTCCCAAGGCCTGCCTTCCACCCTCCCTTGTTCTACTTTTGATTTCACTATTTTCTGAAAATCCACAGGTTCCTGTCTGCGGAGAGTGCAAAGTGAGTGCAATTAGTTGTTAATTAAGAGAACTAGGAGAGACTGTCTCAGCCCCAATGTGGCCCAGCTGCTGGGCAGTTGCTGCCGACCCAAACCTTCGTCCTGTTTCTCTGTGAGTCCGACTCAAGTTCTAACCTGCGGGTCTTCTGGTCCCCAGGCCCTCAGCTCACATCATCATCGAGGCCACACAAGACACTGCGTTTCCTTTTGCTGGACTCCAGAGGGCAACGATTCCATAACCTCTGCTGAGGCGTTCAGTCCATTGATCTTGCTGGGAAGCCTCTTAGAAGCTGGCAAAGAAGGTAAGACCTTGGGAAGCACAGTCCAGGGCCTTCAAGGGGAAGCAGAGCACATATTCAGTGTCTTAAATTATTGGCAAAAGTAAGTTCCTCTCTTCCAGCTTAATTATCAACACACACACACACCCAGATAGTGCCTGAACACAGATCCAGCGTAGTTATTATGTTTACTTTGTCAAAAGTTTGGAAATAACAAAAGTAAAACCAGTGAATCACCGTAGTAGTAATGAGTAAAGTTTTATTGTGCACATACCAAAATGACAGTTTGCAAGCCAGGAGCACTCCAACCAAAACATGGAATGACCATCAGGAGGGTATTGTTTGAAAGCGGCTTATGCAGTGAGGAGGCAATGGCTGTTCTTCCTTCACGGTGATTGGTTATAACATGAGAATTTTCTTCAATCGTAGGGAATTGGTTAGTAGTTACCTCAGATCAGTTCTAGGAGGCAACTTAATTTTCTCTTATGATTTCCAGAGGCATAAACAAGAATTAACCCAGGTCCATTTAGTCTTGCAAAATAAGCTAAATTGAGCTTTGCTTGCATGACTACACTGGTTTTGTGTGCTCAGGGAATTTTAAGGCTGCTCTGTGTTTGTTTTCTGTTTGACTGACTTCTAATTCTTTCCATTTAAGAGATTTATGTAAAATGTTATCAAAACGAAATGGAGGCTCAGCTGTCTTGTTGGTCCTCCAGCCCTTCTCTCGTCATAGTGGCTTGTTGGTCCTTCCCTGATCCTCATTTGTGTCTTAAATTGGAACCAGCTCTGCTGTTTTCTCTCTTTGGCCATGGCTATATGGGCTGCAGAAACTTCTCAGTCTTGTTTTCACTGATTAAAATTCCACCCTCATAACAGTCTTTATTTCCATGGTTTCAGTTTATGATTTTCCTAGTTTGATGCTTTATGGATCCTAACAACAGTGGAAATTAGCAGGGTCTCGTACCTCTTCAAGTTGGCTTCTGGCAGGTACCTGAATCTACTGGTAGATTTCTTTCTTTTTAAAATTTTAATCTGTTAGTGCTCTGGAAGGTTTGTAACCTACCACCAGGTTTACTAACTGAGAGTGTCTTTCACATTACACAAAATGATGATCTCTGAGTCCTTCCTGAATCACCTTGTCAACAATTCCTATCGGTTGCAGACATCTGGAATTTTACTCTTTAATGACACCAACCATATTGGAGGCAGAAAAATCCTCAGGTTTATATCAACAGTCACAATCATATAAATATTATTTATACTTACTCAATTAGAATTGTAATTAAATAAGTAAATATTTCTAAGTGTATTAAAGTATAGAATAAAATCCTTACTAAAATAAATGACAGATATCCACAAACATTGTTTTGCTCAGTGCAAATATCTGTGGTGGTTTGAGGGGGGCATGAAGCTCATTAGTGTATTAAGTACCTTTGAAAGCTGTAGAGTGAAGAGCAGCTGGGAAAAAGGGATCAGAAAATGGAGACCAGGTGTGCAGAACCTAGGGCTAATTTAAAAGCTGTGAAATTATGTTCCGACATAAACACCAAAGCAAAACTCATCATGCAACACGTGAGTAAACAGTGTTTACTAAAATCAGTATACACAATGGTGACAAATAATAAACTCCCAGAAGGAAAATCTTTCGTAAACATAGTTAAACAGGTGTTAATAGACGAAATTAAAATAAATATCCAGCTGGCTCTATTTATCTATTTTAATTTCCTATGAACCATAATTTTCCCTGATATTAGAAAAATGTTGTTAAAGCAAGGTTAATTGTACTTCCAAGTAGATACGTGATTTATGTGGATATAAAAATAAAAATGTTTGATAATAATTCCCTCCTGAAAATAACTTAAAATTAATTTTAAAAGAGTACCTTCTTATCAGGAGTGAAAAGCCCTAAAGTAGATTGTTATCTTTATTGTGGCTCATATAAAAATTACTATCGCAACTTCTAAAACTTTTGCTGTCACCTCATTAAGACTGTTAAAATGGCATAGGCATGGAAATGACTGATGAATACGCTGTAGTAGTCTGTTCTTAGAAGCCAGGATCGTTAATCTCTACAGTCACCTCACCTGTGATTATATTCGCTCTCTAAAATACTGAAAATCAGAGAGAAAATGGCATTTTGGTATAATTGAGATTGTTTATTCATAGAGTATTTTGTTTTCTTATGAGCTGCAAGACTAAAAATAAAGACTGAAAATTTTAGCAAAATACTGACATATTTCCATGTGTCTAAATATTGATTATATTTTATGTTTCACTCTAAATATTGGATAAAATTTAGTTTTAGCTACAAAATATATATATTATGTTGCCCCATTATTTTTGAAGCTATTCACTATAGCATTCCAGAGTTAGAATATTGTCTCTTTTAAAAAGAGAAAATAAATATAGCAGAGAATTTTAGAATTGGAAGAAATTAAAATAATGTTGGCTAACATTAGTATTTGTGGCCAAGAATTTTAAGAATAAAAAAGATCATTTTTATAAATCATATGTGGTATTTATGACCAAGTATAACAAGGACCTCTGCCTTATGCAATAAATGCCATTAATTTTTTTCTCAATATAACAGCCCTAAACTCTAAGATTATGAAAATTAAAATGAGAAACTTTACAAGGGACTAACTGCTAGTCTCATTACTGGGCAGCACATTCTTCAAAGTTCTACTAATTGGAATCATAAAATAAATTACATAATAAAATTTTTAAAATTAGAGAAAATGCTATATTTTGCTGAAGGTATGATTATCATGCATATCCACTAAAACACTTTTGTAACTGTAGAAAAATGTAGAGAAAGTTGTATAAAACAATTTTTATCTCCATTCTAAATTTACGTAAAAATTAAAATGAGAAATAATCCTATCTTTAATTTAGAAATAATTAAAATAGAATTATAGTTAACAAATTGGAAGAGAATCCACATAAATTATATAATTTAATGGAAGAATATAAAACTTTATCAGAATAAATGAAAAGTAACTCTGCAGTATCAAAAAATATAAAGCTTACTATCATAAAAGTTTATTTCCCCAACTTAATACACTATAAGCTAAATACATTTTTCAATAAAATTAAAGAGTAATTTTGTTTTTAGACAAATTCTAAATATATGTTAAATAGTAGATATTCAAAAACAACCCAGAAAACTTAAAAAGAAGCACAACAGGAGCATTGTTTTAGTAGTCATTGATGATGTTATCTTGATCACCCTGTAGATCTTCAGTTGATCTATTTCCCAGTTCACTGTTTGTCTTGTTTTTTTAACCTGCCATTAAATAATCAATTCTTTCCTAAATTTAGATTATTTTTTAGTTCTAGAATTTCCATTTAGTTTTTTTGTATAGATTATAGTGCTGTGGTAAACTTCTACATCCTTTCAATGATTTTTGAACATATTCACAGTTAAAGTCTATTACTGATAACTTCAATATCACAGTTCTATGAAGATCTAATTTTATTATCTTTATGTTCTCCTATTCTGGCATTTTGAAAAATTATGTAAGTCATGAATACTACTTCCTTCTAGTGAATATTTACTAACCTATCCTTTCTAATAGCTAAACTGGAGATACATTAATTCAATCTCATACTGACTAAACTGATTCCAGGCTGGGTTATAGTTCTTATAATACTCAATTTACATCTTGGCTGCCTTATTTCTAGTCTGTAGACCTCTCAGAGTCTCAACTGAGAACATGGAATATTTACCAGGTTACTATCTGGAACTTCATGGGGAAACGGGATTGTTTTGTCAGTTTCAAAGGGAGCACAGTGTTATGTACATTTTACCACAATAAAAAAAAATGCAGATTTGTCAGTAGTCAAGAAAATTACATTTTTTACATATTTCATACTGAACCTTATTTACAAATTCTACCACAGTGAATGTAATCTCAATCAGATTTAACATCTGTGAACATATTAGTCATTCTTTCCATTTCAGTGTCATAAATATTCATTTTCTTCCTTCAGCCATTTGGACTCAGGTATAAAAAAATGCTATCTGATGCTGCATTGAGGAGGGCCAAAAATAAATTAAATTATATGTTATTTGTCAAACACAGTAAGCAAAATAAAAATAAAGATAATTTATTATAAATAATTGAAAGACCGTAACTGTGGAAGAGGTCTTAGATAAGATGGATGGTCCTTGAAAGAAAACATAAATGTTTCCATGCTAATTCAGATTTTTAAACAGAGAGAACGGTTTATCATCAATAATGGTGTAAACATATTTGAATCATTTTATTAAGTGCTCAAATATTTAAAAACATACTTAAGATATATTAATAGCAGACCATTCAAAATTCAAAATATTTTCTTTATAGGCCATTTTTGTCAATTCACAATTTCAGCTAAAATGTTATAAGACTTTCTCCTTCATTTATTCTGCAATGATAATGCCTTTTGGTCTATTTTCCTGGTTCAGCAAAATACAAATTCCAAAGTCTGTAAAACTACATGGAAAACAATTTTATGTCAGTTTCGAATGGGTCATTTTTATTTTCCTACTATAGGGGAAAGCTTATTTTGCATCTAGTGGAGTCATGTAGAGTGACAGTCTACAGTTCAAGGGCAGATGGGCAATATGTTTTGCAGCTATCTGAACATTGCTGGATTCCTTATGCCCTGTTGACACCTTTCTGTGGTATTTTACACAAATGCAGCACCTTGCACTGAAAGAAAAATGCAGCCACCTTCATAATGAAATCCCTTAACAGTATTTCAGTCAAGTAGCCGAAAGAATCAATATCCCTCTTTAACTACAGTTCCAAAATTACATGGTGAGGCAGAAAATAAAGCCTCTTGATTTGACTGGATCCTTTCCTGTGGTCACTGAAACTTCAGCTCTGGCTATGCCTAACCTGAGGATCTTTTGCTTCATGTCACCAACGTACTGTGATACTTGAATGTTATTTCTACTGAACAGTTTTATTTTTTATTAAAGAATCACCTCTAGTCTTCATTTTAAGCAAAAACAAACAGTGTATAACTTACAAAAA